TGAAGATTAGGGTAAATTTACAATGAAGGTAAATGGGGATGCTTTTTTGGAGGAAGAAGCAGAGCTGTAGAGCTCGAAACGTAATTTCTTTATTAATATGTTTTTACCGTTGTTTTAGGGTAAACAAAATTGTACACAGAATATAACTTTACACTGTTTAAATGTTTTTTTTAAAAACCAAAAAAATATATGTGAAAAAATATGTCATAGATGATGAAATCTAGATACATACAGATATAGATTCTGCACACTACTCATGTTTGCATCATAACAGAAATTTTAATGAGCAATGTTTCAGTCAATTGACCTTCCTCAGACAAACTTGAGTAGTGTGTGTGATCTATATATATATTTTTTATTTTAAAGAAAAGGTGAAAATTATTTTTATTCTAATCAACTTTATGCCACAAGTGCTGTAAACACTTTAAATACCTTGTCAGTATTATACTTTTATACAGTCGTTTAAATAAAGCCACACTGTAAAAATGATTGTAATTCTAATTATGAAGGACTCTGTCACGAATCCAGTCCATGGTCTTCCACCTGCTCGCCACCAGAGATCGCCTTCTGATTACATTGACTCTCACACCACACAAACTGTTGCACGTCACCCTGGACTACATTTCCCATGCTCCATTGCACTGATTGGACTCACCTGCAGCCAATCACACACACACTATATAACAACCACTCAAAACCTTCTCTAATCGCCGGGTATTGTCTGCGTTTATCACTCTCCTAGTGGTAGCACTTTACAGAGCCAGTATCCTGTCTGAGTTTAGTCTAGTTCTAGTCCTGTTTCGTAACGTCTAGTTTTGCCTGATTTTCTGTTCCTGATAACCTGCCTGTCTTGGATTTCTCTCTCGTCTTGTTGTTTGGATTCTGTTCGCACCTCGCCTGGATTAATATCTGTCTTTGGATTACTCGCCTGCCTCATCCTTTGGATTATGTTCGCCGTTGATCGACCTACGCCTGTTTATTGGATCACTCTTCTCTCTTGCCCTCTGAATACCTGTTTGCCATTGTCCGACCCTTGCCTGTTTTGACTATCTTTAAGAATAAAGCTTTGCAGATGGATCCGCACGTCTCTCGTCTCGTTCGCCCCGTTACACGCTAAAAAATACTATGGTAAAAAACTGTTAATTTGTTAATAGTAAGTTTATTTACTATATATGATGAAAAAAATAATAACTGACATTCCCAGAATTACCTCATTACATTTGATCGTTTTAGGTTTTCATGTTACATCTTATGTATAGTTTACCTAATGTTTACTGCATTATTTTAGTGTCATATATAGTTTATTGCTTAAAGGTACAAAGCAGCAGAAATGGTTATGCAAATTCAGAAGAGTTTTATACTGTAAAATGTACAGGTTACTCTGTAAAGTTGTTAGCATTTGTTCTGTATTTTTACACAATTATTCTTTGAACCACAGCTGCCAGTTTTGTTTTGTAAAAACAACAGAATTTTTCTTACAGCGCATGCTGACTCTGGCTCCCACACTGTAGATAAATAATTGTCTGTGGAACATTTGGGGAAGTGCCTCTTGTTTTCTAGTGTGTATGATCTTGTAAGGTGGGATACTGTGGCAAGGCAGGCCAGTAAGTGTCTCCCTCCTGCTGTGAGAGGCAGGAGGAATGAATCCCTCTTCTGTCCAGAGCAGATGTTTCCGCTGCTTTAACAGATTTAGACACACCTGCTGCCTTCAGCTTCAGTTCAAATTAAGGTGAGACCGGTCTGCATGAGTTTAAGATCTCCTGAAGTTCCTCCATGTTGTCTGGAGACTAGTTAGAATGTGATCTATTTCTGTGTATCTAACTGGATGTGGTTCAGCTGGGTCTCACTGACGCCCATGCTGACGCTCATCACATCATTCTGTAGAGCAGAATTAGAAAATAGATATTCCCACAAGAGTGCTGAGATTTTGCTTATTGCTGTCTCTAAATTTCATTATTTCATGAGTGCAGAGATAATAGTACTGCAGTTTGTTGCAACTGGAGCAGAATCAAAGATAATAGTTATTAGATCATTATTTATCAAGCTGCTTCTTTCTCATTATAATACACTGATCTTAAGTGATGGATGATTGTGAAATAATTGCATGTCATTTAGTTTACAATTAGAGTCTACTGAGTTAATTTTAACTTTGCATCAATGTAATGATTAAGTATTGGATTGTGTTTCCTTTCTGTTTTGTAAATGTAACCAAACATCTGACAGTCCTGTAGGCAGGTCGTTGTCAGGTGCCATTTGTGTCCACATGAGCCATGAGACCTGATATAATTATCACTGAATTTACTGACATTATTTGACTGTTGTGATTATTATTTTTTTTTTAAAGAAAATGTGCATTATTTAAATGGTTTATTCTTAATAATAATATTAACCAGTTTGTATGTCCTCATCAATGGATTATAGAATTAGTATTAGTATTATACACTTAGTATTGTATCCAAGTTTTGCTTTTATTTAAATAAATTTCACTTCATAGGCATGTTCTTGTCCAGGCCCTTGCCATCTCTAGGCTGGACTACTGCAATGCTCTTCTGGCTGGACTTCCATCAAGCACAATCAAACCTCTACAAATGATTCAGAATGCAGCGGCACGACTGGTCTTCATTGAGCCCAAATGAGCCCATGTTACACCTCTCTTTATCTCTTTGCACTGGCTGCCGGTTGCGGCTCGCATCAAGTTCAAGACATTGATGCTTGCATATAGAACAGCCACAGGCTCAGCACCCGCCTACACTCTTAAAAATAAAGGTGCTTCAAAAGGTTCTTAAAGCGATGCCATAGAAGAACCATTTTGGTTCCACGAAGAACCATTCAGTCAAAGGTTCTTTAAAGAACCATCTCTTTCTTACCTTTTTATAATCTGAAGAACCTTCTTTCGCCCCAAAGAACCTTTTGTGAAACAGAAAGGTTCTTCAGATGTTAAAGGTTCTTTATGGAACCATTTAGACAAAAAGGTTCTTCTATGGCATCGTGAAGCACCTTTATTTTTAAGAGTGTACAATGAATGTGAATACAGCTGTCATTCTTCTTAGCATCTCCTTTTGTGTTCTACTAAAGAAAGAAAGTCGTATTGGTTTGAAAAAATGAGGGTGCTGACAGATTTTCTATTCTGTTCTATTCCAGTGTAGTTTAGTCTAGTTGCCATCGTCACTTCTATAACTGTCTGGTTCAGCTCAGCTACCAAATCTGACCTCAGAAGACTACAAAGGGTAGTCCGGACTGCTGAGCAAATCATTGGTACAACTCTCCCTTCTCTCCAAGAACTGTACTCATCCAGAGTGAGCAAAAGGGCTGGCAGAATCACTCTGGACCCCTCACATCCAGCACACTCCCTCTTTGAACTGTTGCCCTCTGGCCTGCGCTACAGAGCACTGAGCACCAAAACAGCCAGATACAAGAACAGCTTTTTCCCCCAGGCTATATTCTACCTGAATATTTTATTACTATATTGTTATTTATCATGTACATTTACATTTACATTTAGTCATTTAGCAGACGCTTTTATCCAAAGCGACTTACAATTGGGGGATACATAAAGCGATTCTTCTTAAGAGAGGCAAACAGACACAAGAAGTGGTTGTAATACCAAGTTCTTAGACATTGTTCAAATAAGTACAAGCTAGAAAGAGAAGGAATAAATAAAGAGGTTTTTTTTTTATTTTATTTTTTTTATTTTTTATGATGAAGTCAAGTAGCTTCGAAAGAGATGAGTTTTCAGCTGTCGCTTGAAAATTGTCAGGGATTCAGCATTCCGGATAGGGGTGGGAAGATCGTTCCACCAGCCAGGAGTGGTGAATGAGAATGTTCTGGAAAGTGATTTTGAGCCTCTCTGTGATGGAGTGTACTTCCACTCACTACTACGAATCTACATCCCCTCCAGAAGTCTGAGATCCGCTAGTGAGCGACGCCTCGTGGTACCATCACAGAGAGGCTCAAAATCACTTTCCAGAACATTCTCGTTCACCGTTCCTGGCTGGTGGAATGATCTTCCCACCCCTATCCAGAATGCTGAATCCTTAACAATTTTCAAGCGACAGCTAAAAACTCATCTCTTTAAACGCTACTTTACGTCATCTTAAAAAAAAAAAAAAAAAAACTTTTTCTTTCTCTTTATTTATTCCTTCCTTTTTCTAGCTTGTACTTATTTGAACAATGCCTAAAACTTGGCATTCCAAGCACTTCCTCTATCTGTTTGCCTCTTTAAGAAGAATCGCTTTATGCATTCCCCAATTGTAAGTCTTTGGATAAAAGCGTCGGCAAAATGACTAAATGTAAATGCATGTACACTGTAAAAAATGACTACTCAAGTTAAATAAAACAAAGATTATTACAGTACTTTTTTTACAAGAAAATACTTTTGAGTCAACTTCAAAATTTCACCTTTAATTCAATGTGTTACTTGCGGTTTCTTTGTAATTAGTTGTGAAATTTGTCAATATAAGTCAATATATTTTGCAGTGAATTTTCTGAGAAAATATGTGATTTTAAAAAATGGACTGAAAAAATTATGACAATAGCCTATATTTGCAGTGATATTATTATTATACAAAAAAGGTCTAGAAACAGTGCAACACATTGCATTTATTTTTAAATAAAACGTATAGCCTAATCTTTGTCTATTTACTAATGTATATTATGCCATTATAATACAATATTTTATGGTTACATATGGTTATCTATTTTGAATTCCTGACTTTTTAGGGACCGTATTGCTGAGAATGACGAGCGCAATCTTTTGGGTACCAAAAATGCGCGTCTAGCTCCATCACCCTTCGCACAACATGGATACATAAGAAGATCCCCCATCATCCAGCGCGGTTGAGATCGTGTGATGGGGAACAAGAGGGGCTTCTGCCACTTTAATATGCCCTGACGTCATTCTGATGCAGGACTGAGGATGACCTCGTGCGCGAGGAAGGGGAGAGAAATCAAACGTATCATATCGTATACAATTCAGCCTTGGCTTTCTGGCAGCACTACGGCCTGACGTTATACGCCGGGGTCTGTTAGTGCCGTGGCCAACAGAGCTGTATCACGCAGGGATGCAGGGATGCTGAGAGGCCGGCCGGCGCGTGGAATGCGCGCGTTGTCACAGCGACAGAGCAGCTTGGATACAGAGAGTCACAGAGCGAGTGAATGCGCATGAGAGAGAGAGAGAGAGAGAGAGAGATGAGCAATCAAAAACCTCACAGCATCTCTCCCATCGCAAAGGCTCCCGGAATCACGGGGAAACGACAGCGGAGCCGGTGAGTAGCTGGAATCAGACGCTCGAGATGCTTATAGATTAAACACGAGACTTCACTGATAAAGTCAGCACGTTACGCCGGCGTTTGTTCCCGGAAAACCGAAATAAATCACCTCGAAAACGGAAAGAGAGTGTTGGTTCCACTCATAGAGGGGGAAAACAGGTCATAGAAGTGAAATCGTGCTTGTTGTTCCATATGCGCTATAATGGGAGACAAGCGTTTCCAAACAAGCTTTTCAATGGACAAATCCAGCTAGACTTCATTAAGACGTTGTGTTGATCGAGCTGCGCGCGTGAGCAATTCTTCACTTTTGGAGTCGTGTCATCTGAATCCGTCTTATGACTGGGTGTTGTCGGGAGAAACCGTGAAACATTTCCTGCTGTTCTCGGACAACGGAGAACCTTTTGGTTTATTCCGAGCTCAGGCTGATGGAATTGCGCTGAGCAACGCTTGAGAAAACGAGGAAATACCCACAGAGCTCCTATATACAGCCATCTGATTTCTGCCTGCGGCTCATTCCCAGGTAAAGGCACTTCTGTGCAAAATATATTATAGATTCAGCTCTTTCTCCTCTGACTTAGGACTTTAGGCTGTTGTATAGTAAGCAGGGTTTCCATTTGGAAAAGTACATCAAATGTTGTTGGGCTAAGGGGAAATAATAGGAGCGCTTTTTGCTGTTTAAACTGTGTGGTGCTGCAACCTGTTCAGGAGCCTTTTCCGAAATGCAGAGCGACAGGCGCGTTTCAATTGGGGCATAACGGGCGCACGCGCGGATGGTGCTGTAGCGTGCATGATTGTGTGTGTGTTGGGATATTAAACGTGCATATTGACCCGTTTTAATACTAAGCATAAAGATGCTTTAAAATTGTCTTTCCTTTTTGGCCAGGACAGATTCATATCTATGTCTGTTGTCAATTATGTCTTTTTTTGTAATGTAGGCTATTGATACTATATGGATACCATATACATACTGTACATCATATCACATATATCATCTAGTGTTCATTAGATTGATCACAAATCCAATTCAGAATCCAGATGTGAAATTAGTATTTTTCATTTAACTCTGTTTTTTGTTCTTCTTATAAATCCTTTATATTTGCACAAAGAAGCATACATGTTTTCTGTTACATGTTTGTTCATGTATGGTAGGGATTTCACCCCATGCCGACAATGTACATTTTGTTAAAATGGTGATACAACGCTGCTCGGTCTTCCCTCATTTTTTTTTCTTCGTGTATTTGAAAATGCTTTGACGTCATAAAGCACGAAAATTAGATTATCAAAGAATCACTCCGGCCCCCAGCATCCTTCTCTGTCCTCTTGCAGCACACACACTTACACACACAGTAGAACATAAACCTATCACTGTATATCAAAGACAAGTAATCGCTGGTTCACTGATGTGCCGAACATCTGATGGGAGGAGAGGTCGAAGCTAGAGCAGCAGTTACCACACACACACACACACACACACACACACACACATAGTCTGAAAGAATGGGCCACATTTATATGCTATCCTAGTATGGCTATTCCAAACCTAGTGGATTGCAGAATTGAGAAGACACAGAAGCGCTCTGTTCTGTGAGCAGGGAATGCTGAGCTCTCTCTCTCTCTCTCTGGCCCAAATAGCAGATATGGAGCTCACTGTGTCATTTGAGAGCAGGGTAATGGATGGAAGCAACTGTGTGACTGTCCTTGTGTTGGACTGATTTGTTACTGTAGATGTTAATTTTTCCACTCACTGCAAAACTGTAGACTTGAAATTGCGTGTGTGTGTGTGTGTGTGTGTGTGTGTGTGTTTTGGACTGTAGCTTATAGACTGACGTTTCATTGCAATCCATTTACGTTGTTGCTATAACATGTTCCACTCTTTTCGGAAGACTTTCTGCTAGCTGTTGGAACAGGGCTGTGGGTATCTGCTCCCATTCAGGTCTGGTAGCCTCAGCGAGGTGCTGATGTTGAGCAGGAGATCCAATTCATCCCGAAGGTCTTCAGTAGGAATTCAGGTTTGGTCGTTGTGAAGGCCACCAATGTTATTTATTTGACACTTTTTAAAAATATTTTTATTTTTGTCTTATGAAGAAAACGTTTACTTTAGGTATAATATTGTCATGTTTTATTCTTCAATTTTAATCACTTTTATTTTTTTACTGACTAAAAAGACATTTTAGTCAACAAAAGTAACATTTTAGCTCAACAGAGAGTGCAAAATATAAATAAATAAATAACCAAATATTGTTAAAATCTAGAGGGTTTTCTTTTTTCTTTTCATACTTTTGTCAGCTGTATGTTTTAATTAGTGTCATGTACATTTACCTTCTTGCCTTCATTAATGTTAACAATAGAATCAATTATTTCAACAAATTATACATTAGTTTAAACAAGTATTAACATTTAACAGCAGTGTTTGAAAACTTGTTTTTAGAGTGTTTTTATGGAAAAAGCGAATTCACAATGTGACACATTCTGACTTATCTGTATAAGTTAAAATGCATTTGCTCTTTTGTGTCGTTTTTTGGAGATAGGCTACAAGTTATGATATTACCTTATCATATATAGTTTTTTAAAGAGAGTTTTTTTCCCTTTTTTTAACTTCTTCATTGTCATGGATGTCAACTAACAATTTCATCACTGTTTTTTTTGATTAGCAACACAACAGGCCAGTCAAGTTCTTTCATGCCAGACCCAGTGAACCATTTCTTTATGAGCTTCATTCAGGGTTTCCACGGGTCTTAAAAAAGTCTTAAAAAGTCTTAAATTTAGTTGTATCAAATTTAAGACCTTAACAAGTCTTAAATTGTACAAGAAAGTCTTAATTATGATTTCAAGAGGTCTTTAATTTGGGGAAGGAAAGACCAGAATTGCGATATGGCTGAATGTGACGATTAAAATCCAAAAGGCTATGATTTCATTAAATAAACATGAGCGCTGCTGCATTGTGTTCTGCCGTTACTGGGGAAACAGTTATATTTCAACCAAATGCTCCACCTGCTGGCAGAGAATGAATGAGCATTTTCAATAAAACTGATGTTTTGTTCAGAGTTTAGACAAATGCAAAAATCGACCTATGTTTTTACCCTGCAAACACGCAGAGCTTTAAATGTGAACTGGTGGATCGATAAGAAGATAATGCATTATAAAAATCTAAATAGTAGGGGTGTGCGATGGTCTGCAATTGTTTTTTAACGATGTGTGATTTGATATTATCGAGTATATCGCGAAAAGCAAACAAAACACCTACAGAGTGCGCGTCTAGCAGTCTAGACTAGTGCGTGTGTGCATTACTGTGTTCTTTCACTGCATGAATCAGTCTATTAAAATGCATTTAGAAATATCACATAATTCGAGATATGGGGCAGAAAATGTATATATTTATATAATTTCATAGAGTTAATATCACATGAAAAGTGCCGTTTTTTTCTCCAAAAGTCAGCATGATTACAAATGTGATATTGATTTTATACAACAGTTACATAAACAATAAGTTAATATTAAAAGACTTACTCTGTTTTGCGTCTCTGAGCAACAGGATGCTGTTTTGTTCCTGAATGAATCAACCGTTTAAATGATTCAGTTCAAACGCAATGACTCACTTATTAACAGTGACTTGCTGCCACCTGCTGGCAGTTTTAGGCATTTAAGGTACCTTTTAATTTTTTTAATAATTTCAAACATCAGTTTTCAATGTTTTATGTTTAAAATATCAAAACATTATTTATGCATTTGTAACTGCAGGTTAAAATATTCCATGTCCCTCAGAGCTGCATTAATATAGTGGAGATATGGGGCAGAAAATGTATATATTTATATAATTTCATAGAGTTAATATCACATGAAAAGTGCCGTTTTTTTCTCCAAAAGTCAGCATGATTACAAATGTGATATTGATTTTATACAACAGTTACATAAACAATAAGTTAATATTAAAAGACTTACTCTGTTTTGCGTCTCTGAGCAACAGGATGCTGTTTTGTTCCTGAATGAATCAACCGTTTAAATGATTCAGTTCAAACGCAATGACTCACTTATTAACAGTGACTTGCTGCCACCTGCTGGCAGTTTTAGGCATTTAAGGTACCTTTTAATTTTTTTAATAATTTCAAACATCAGTTTTCAATGTTTTATGTTTAAAATATCAAAACATTATTTATGCATTTGTAACTGCAGGTTAAAATATTCCATGTCCCTCAGAGCTGCATTAATATAGTGTGTAAATGCATCTAAATGCCACTTCAGATGCAGCTTCTGTGTTTTCTCTGCATTGCAAAGATCAATTCTGTTGATACTGATTTCATTTGCTTGGTAACAGCCCAAATGCAAGAATTTGACTCAAAAGATGGTGCACACTTTTAGAAAAAATGGCAAATGCCCGTAAAACCTGTTGGAAAAGATTAATTTCTATCACTGCTGTGAACTGACCACACAGAATATGAAGAATATCAAAAAAATTAATGAGTCAGCTGTCAGCACAATTAGAGATAAGATATCAGCACAATAACACACTCAGCAAAATATTAAAAATTATCGAAATATTATTTGTCAGTACTGCACACCCCTAATTTATGTTATTTAATTGATATAATAATTTATTGATAATAATTGTTTAAATTAGTATAATAATTAATACTTTTGACTCATCCATTTTCTTAAAAATGGTTTAAAGGCTGAAATGTAAAGTTTATCATTTTATAAAACTTTTAGTTTTTTTGAAAACTTGTAGATGAACTGTAAATTATGCTTTTTACAGTATTTTTACAGTTTAATATGGTACTATTGACATTCCCCTTCCCCGCTCATATGGTATTAATTTTCTTTGTGCTGGTCTTAAAAAGGTCTTAAATTTGAGCTTAAAAATCCTGCAGAAACCCTGTTCATTGTCAAGCTGGAACAGTTTTTTTGAAAACTTGTAGATGAACTGTAAATTATGCTTTTTACAGTATTTTTACAGTTTAATATGGTACTATTGACATTCCCCTTCCCCGCTCATATGGTATTAATTTTCTTTGTGCTGGTCTTAAAAAGGTCTTAAATTTGAGCTTAAAAATCCTGCAGAAACCCTGTTCATTGTCAAGCTGGAACATAAAAGTTCTTGGAAAGCATTGTATTCCATACACTCTCAAAAATGCTGAGTTAAATACAACCCAGTGCTGGATAAAATATGGACAAACCCAGCGAATGGGTTACTGCCCAGAAGGTTGGGTTAAACATTTAACCCAACTGTTGGTTGAAAACAACCCAATCGCTGACTTTGTCCATATTTTACCCAGCGCTGGGTTGTATTTAACCCAGTATTTATTAGAGTGCAACAATAAGTTTCATCTTCACTATAGTGAAACCCATTCATAAGGCAGTTTCAACATACTTTTGGCCATCTTCAAGAGCATATTTGTGTACAGTAGTGCAATATGTGGACGTGTCATCATTACAGCTTTTTGCTGTGTGTGTGCGCGCGTGTTAGCAGCAGCACCAGACAGCATGTCTTGTTTATTCATGCAGAAGCATCGGATCAATGAGCTC